GTTCCGACCCATAGCGACCCTGTACAGGGTTTCCGAGGGTGTAAATCCTTACGGGAGTAGAAAGTCTCATCTTTCTCCCGTGGAGTGGCTGGTAGTTTCGAACCGCTGACCTTAAGATTCGCAGCCTGATTCGTAACCACTATGCTACCAGAGCTCCTTGTTCCAACTCATAGCAACCCTAAATTCAAGGGAAGAGCTATCTTTCCATATGCTGGGCAAAGAAAGGATTAGATATTGACAAACAGTAATAATGTAAAACAAACATCATAATTATATTATAAAGAAAGGGCTAGAGAAGGAAGCAATCACACTTAGGATGTCATATGATAAGAGATAACTCTCCTGTTTATCTGCCAATGGATGTAAGTTTGTTCTTTACTGTTTGTTTTTACTCCAGTAGAAATTGGGACTCTGGGGCTCCAAATACACTTCTAGCTCTAAATTGGTTGACTTCCATACTTTCCCCATATCTTTATTTGCTCTTTTCTTTTTCTTTTATGAGTCTCCAGTTTATAACCTTGACTCTTGGTGTGGTGTTGTAGGATCAGTACTGGACTGTGAACCACAAGATTAGCAGTTCAAACCCACCAGCTGCTCCTTGGAAACCCTATACAGGGTTATTATGAGTTGAAACTGACTCAATGACACTTAACAACAATTTGTAACTTAGGAAATTCGGATCTGTGCAGGAGAGTTTCTGATAAAGTTTCAGCTCATTGTTTCTTGAAGACATAGTTCTATTTCACAAGGTAGTTGGGTGGAATGGTTAAGCCAAACAACAGATTAAGCAACGAATGATGGCTCTATTTTCTTGGCATTTAGACCATTATGACAAGATTAGGTGCATGCAAAAATTCAATATAGGAATACATGGTAGCTGATCATATTGATCTTATAGAAATAAGGCTTTATAGAAAATGAGATCACCTGTAAACTGCATTTGAGAAACCTGGGTTTTCATACTTACTCTAAACACATTGGTGAAAGTCAGGAACTTTCAGTGTCTTTCCCATTTGCTTTGTGTTTACTTTGTATCCAATTCTTAATTATAATTTAGTGAGATCAAAAAGAGGTAATGACTGTTATGTGTTTAACAAACTTATGTGTTGTTGTTAAGTGCTGTTGAGTCAGTTGCAGCTCATAGCAACCCTATACAGTGTTTACAAGGAGTATTTGGTGTCTTTGAACCACCAACCTTGTGGTTAGCCGTCCAGTGCTAAGCCTTCAGAGCCACACCAAGACTGTCCCAGTCCCTGGTGTCTGTGACTGTGACCTTATTTGGAAGTAGGTCTTTGAAGATGTTATTAAATTATGATCATATTTAATTAGGGTGGGCCCTACAGCCAAAGACTGCTGCCTTATAAGATGGATATGTGAATCGATACAGAGACACACAGGGAGGCAGAGATTGGAGTGATGTAGCTATAAACCATGGAGCACCAAAGATTGCCAGCAACTACCAGAAACCTTGGAGTCTTGGTGTGGCGCTGTGGGTTAATGCTTTGGACTGTAAAGTTTGTTTGAACTGCAAGGTCAGTGGTTCAAGCTCACCAGCTGCTCCTCGGAAACCCTTTACAGGGTCGCTATGGGTCGGAATCGACTCGATGGCACTTAACAACAACAACCAGAAAACTTGGAACATATTTGCCCTCAAGTCTTCAGAAGAAACGCATCTTGCTGATACTTGATTTTAGGATTCTGGTCTACAGAACAGTGAGAGAATAAATTTCTGTTGATAGAATAAATTTCAGTGTTTTAAGCCACCCAGTTTTTTTTTCAGTGTGCTACTGGAATCCTAAGAAACAAATAAGAAACCTAGGATGCGCAGTCATGAAGCTTTTTGCTCTAACTAAAAGGTGGGCAGTTTGTCTCTCATAATGATTTCAGCTTAGGAAGCCATTATGATAAGGCCAGTTTACTCTGCCCTATGGACAGTTTGGAGCTGTGGGATCAGCACTGGACTGAGGCTGTTCAAACCCACCAGCTGTTCAAACTGACCAACTGTTCAAACCCACCAACTGTTCAACCCACCAACTGTTCAACTACACCAGCTGCTCCTTCAGGGTCGATTGTGAGTCAGAACTGACAGGAAACTATTAACAATGACCGAGCGTCAGATTTGGTATAATGGAAAAAAAAAGAATACTTCTCTTTCTTTTTAAAAATGAGGATGAAATGATCTCTGAATTTTTTTTTTAAGTTTTTTGAAAACATGCATTGCTAATATACAAATGTGAAAAATCTCTACACTAGCTCTGAAACGTTGTTGTCAACCTCTAGAAAATTATGATTTGTATTGTGGATATTGATACTGCCCCTTACTTCATCTTTCCTATCCTCACCTCCTCCCATGAGTTTTGTTTTCTTATGCTGTATGTACAGCTGTGATGTGGCACTGTAGGATAAGCACTGGACGGCTAACCACAAAATCGGTGGTTCAAACTCACCAGCCGCTCCTTGGAAACCGACTACACACAACTTAACAACAGCACTTAACAACCGCACTTAACGACGGCACTTAACAACACTTAACGACGGCACTTAACAACAACAACAACAACATCTGATTTAAAGCACTGGTATTATTTTAGATGATCAGAAAAGAGGATTCAGAAACCAATACTCATTGTCCTACAGTCATTTTGACTCACAGTGACCCTAAAGGACAGAGTAGAACTGTTTCATAGGGTTTTCCAGGCTATACATCTTTATGGAAGTTGCCTGCCACCTCTGTCTCCCTCAGAACAGCTGTTGGGTTGTAACCGCCGACCTTTCAGTTGGTAGTCGAGTGCTTTACTACCAAGGTTCCTCAGAAATTGATATGTAGGATTTAGAAGGAACTGAAGCCAAGCAAATACTATTTTATGAAAATTTCCAGCGGCTCACTGGGAGCGGCCCCCTCCACAGGGGGCAGCAGAGACGCGGGGAGAGAAGGAGAGCTGGCGCTGAGAGGCCGAGTTGGCCCGGGCAGTGCCCACGCCAGTTGCAGAAGAGCCGTCCCAAAGGAGGAGTGGAAGGGGCGGACTGGGGCGGGGGTCGGAGCAAAAGGCGGAAAGGCGATTTCACAGTTGTGCTTTTGTAGGCGTTGCTCACAGCCCGCGGGACGGGAGGCGGGGTAGGAGCTTGATTAAAGAAGCCGCCTGGAAGGAAGGCGCGAAGGAGGGACGGGAACAGTAGGAGGAGCAGCGAGCTGGGCTGCGGCGGCAGGAGGAGCGGCTCCAGCGAGGCCACGTTTTATTTTGTTTTTTTCCATCGAGATAGTTTTCGCAAGCGCTTCGCGAGGACTGACCGCACCGCAGCTGAGCAGCCCCGACCTTCCAGGTGACAGTCGGTCACCCTAGTAGGAGTCAGCTCCACCCCAAATCACCCCCCTCCCGCCCACAGCCCATTCCCCGCCCAGTCTCCCAGTGCATGCCCCAGGCGAGAGCGGCGGCCGCAGCGGATCTGCAGCGCTGGAGGAGGCGGCACCGGCCCGGCGGGAGGCGGTGGCGTGAGGCCCTCGGCGTTGTGCACTGATCGGACAGACCTACAGGGAAGAAAGAGGGAAGTCCGGTCTCCAGGCACGAGCTGGAGAAAGGCAGATGCGGATTTAACCCGCCCTCTCCTTGGAGCCCGGCTGCAGGGCTTTCGCCTCTGTGCCCACCGGAACCTCTGACCTGCGTCTGGGGAAGTGCCGCCTGGGGCTGGGGCGCTGAAGCGTGGAGATCGGGGTCGCGCCGCACCGTAGCGGGCGCGGGAGCCCTGTATAGGAGTTGGCACAGTTTTCGGCGGCGCCTTCAGCACGCGAGTTGGGGGCGCGGCACGCCTGGCCGGCCCCCTCGGTGTCTTCCTTAGGCGCGAGTTATGGAAACCCCCAGCTGCATTCAGGAGGAGCCGTTTCCGCACCCCCTGGATCCTGAGTCGGGCGCCCCTTCTCAGTCGGTCCCCGGGAAGCTCGGCGAGAAGCGGTTCCGACTGTGGTATGTGGGGGGGTCATGCCTGGACCGCAGGACCACACTGCCCATGTTGCCTTGGCTCATGGCCGAGATCCGCCGGCGCAGCCAGAAGCCCGAGGCGGGCGGCTGCGGAGCTCCCCCGGCCCGCGAGGTGCTCCTAGTGCTGAGCGCGTCCTTCCTGCGCTGCGTCCCGGCGCCCGGCGTAGGGGGTCCCGGCCCCGCGGGCGCGCAGCCCAACCCAGCGGTGTTCATCTTTGAGCACAAGGCGCAGCACATCTCGCGCTTTATCCACAACAGCCACGATCTCACCTACTTCGCCTACTTGATCAAGGCGCAGCCCGACGACCCCGAGTCACAGATGGCCTGCCACGTTTTCCGCGCTACAGACCCCAACCAGGCAAGAGCTCAGCTCCGAGATGCGGGGGAGGGTTTGGGGATGTGCTGGCGCACAGGGCTGAGATTTAATAGAGCCGAAGGGGTTGGGCCCCACTTTTTTTGGGGACTGTGGTCGGGCTACTGGCGCGCGCCCTCCACGTGGCGCGAATCAACCCCCCCCCCCCCCCCCCCCCCCCCCCCCCCCCCCCCCCGCTCTCTCTCGACCTCGAACCCCGGGTTGGGTAAAAAGCGTTCTGGGGCTGAGCGGCGACTGGAGTGGACCAGTCCAAAGGAGCAGAGATGTGGGAGAGAAGGAGATGGAGAGCGCCTGGGACCGCGGAGGAGGACGCAGGGGAAGTGCGCTTCCGGAGAGGACCGCACTGTTTGGAGGGCGACCTGTGATGAAGGCTCCCCAGCCTTCGCAGTGTGTTTGTGTGAGCACGGGAGAAGGTTGGGTTCCTAGAGGCTCCGCACTCAATCTGGGCCGAGCCCTGCTCCTTGACACACTTGACCCGTCGAGTCACAGCAGCACCTGCGGGTCTTCGGTCCTGCAGCGGGGTTTAGAAAAAAATTTCTAGACAGTGTCAGAGTCAGACTGTCAGGAAGGTACGCTACTACCTTTATATGTAGAAATGAAGGAAGACCTTTCAAAAAGTTGGCAGTTTTTTTACACACTAAAGTGGAGACAGAATCATTACATATTTGAGTGATTGAATATGCAGCATAGTAAAAGAGGGATGTGTATGAAGAGGTCCAAATTTGTGTTTTTAAGTGTTTTTTCAGAGTTTATGAAATCGAGCTGTTATGACCAAACAGTGGACTTTAATTGCTCAGAGATAAGCACAATCCTTCTCCAAATGCTAGAGGTATATGAACAAAATCTTACCACACTGATTACTTTTTGGCAAACAAGCTATTTTAAAATGCGTATATTGTTTTTTTTTTTTGTTAAGTGCTGAGATTCGGTTGTTGTTGTCAAGTCGATTCTGACCCATAGTGACCCTGTACAGGTTTCCGAGGCTGTAAATCTTTATGGAAGCAGAAAGCTTCATCTTTCTGTCTCGGAACAGCTGGTAGTTTCGAACTGCTGACCTTAAGGTTCGCAGCCCGATTCGTAACCACTGCGCCACCCTATATAGGGTTGCGAGGCATGGCTGGTGGGTTTGAACAGCCAACTGTGAATCTACAGCACCACACGAGAACTCCAGAAATAGGTGTGTTGTTACGTGTCGTCCAACTGGTTCCACTCCTAGCAATCTTGTATAACGCTTCTGAGGAGCGGCTGGTTGGTTTGAACTGCTGACTTTGAGTTTAGTAGTCCAGTGCTTTTCCTACAGTACCACACCAGGATCCAAAATGTGTAGAGAGTTTTAATATATCAAAACCTTTTATAGTGCTTTTTAAAAGATGATTAACTATTTTATGTTTGCAACGTACTTTGAAGGACTAGGTTCTTAGCTTTTACCATGTGGTGCCGTGGTCTCTGGGAAATAAGATGATAAAAACGGACTGTAAGTTTAAAGCTTTTTAAGATATTCTCTTAATCCATAATTTAATTTTCTAATTGAAAGACTTTTTTAGTAATTCTGTAGTTTCCCATAGGGAGCACAGTGGTTCTGTACAATAAATATTGGACTGTGAACCACAAGGTCGTTGAGTCGACCCCAACTGATGCTTTGGGGAGTGGGGTGGGGAAGACGAGGGTTTCTGCTCTCACAAAGATTTACATCTGTGGAAACCCTATACAGGGTCACTCTGGGTCGGAACCGACTTGACAGCATTTAACAACCAACAACAACTCTGTTAAATGGTTTGTTATCTTAATACTCAGTTCTCATAATGAAGTGATCAGCATTAAATGAAATGATCTGATCAAAGAATGATTAAAATGAATTTTATTTTATCCTTATTTGATCAAATCTTGTTTTTTAAGCTTTTTGTTGTTGTTGTTGTTGTTATGTGCCGTGGAGTCGGTCCCGACTCATCGCGACCCTGTACAGGGTTTCCGAGGCTGTAAATCTTTACGGGAGCAGAAAGCCTCATCTTTCTCCCGCGGAACAGCTGGTAGTTTCGAACTGCTGACCTTGAGGTTTGCAGCCCGATTCATAACCATTACGAAGCTTTTAGATAAGTTGAAATTGGGGGTGCAGCATGTTCTCTGGTAGTGTAGTGGTTACGAATTGGGCTGCGAATCTTAAGGTCAGCAGTTCGAAACTACCATCTGTTTGTGGGAGAAAGATGACGCTTTCTGCTCCCATAAAGATTTACAGCCTGGGAAACCCTGTACAGGGTCGCTATGAGTTGGAATGGACTCCATGGCACATCACCACCACCACGTTCTTGATTTATTAAATTTTCATGGTATTTAGATTTTTTGGTTCTGTTAGTTGGTAGGATAAGCACTAGACTGAAGACTGCAACGTCGGCGGTTCAAACCCATCAGCTACTCCTTGAAAACTCAATACAGGGTTGCTATGAGTCAGAATTGACTTGATGGCACTTAACAACAACAAGAACAAGGCACCTTAAGGAACCATGGTGGCACCATGGCTTAAGTACTGGGTTGTTAACCACAAAAATCAGAGGTTTAAACCTATTGGCACTGTATGAGAGAAGGATGAGGCTGCCAGCTTCCATAAAGATTGTCAGTGTCAGGAACTCTATGAACTGGCTTTACTCTGGGTCTCAGTCTGAATCTACTCCATGGCACTAGGTTTTAAGGAGCTGTTGTATTCTCCTTGGTTTACCTTAAATTTATTGTCTTCAGATCTGATACATAACATGACTTTGTTAATTTCATGATGGTGCAAGTTTGTGTATAGTTGACATGAACCTTCAATTCTCAACAGTGGCTGCTGAGTCCCATCCGAACTCATTGGTTGGAAACCTATTTAAAACATCCATATGTGTTCATGGAGTCCTGATATGGCACTGTGGGTTAATGCACTGGACTGCAAAGTTGGTTTGAACGCAAGGTCTGCGGTTCAAGCTCACCAGCTGCTGCTTTAAACCCTAAGCAGGATTGCTATGGGTCAGAACTGATAGTTAACAACTAACAACGTATTGTGTTTAGGTATCAGAGCCTGAGTATGCTATTGCTTTACAAATAATAGCATGTTTAGGCTCGTTTTCTCCTTCTAGCCATAACAGTGGAAGTCATAATAAAGCTTTTCTGATAAAGCAAGGAAGAAAACAACTTTCCTGCTTATCTCCATTTCCCTGCTGAATCCTAGATCTGAACATATGGATTCTTATTTGCTGAGATCCTAAGGAATCCCCGGTGGAGGGTCATTAATTCCAGCAGTCTGATGTGGTCCTTAGGGGATTATACCAGCCATAAATCAGGAGGTAGTATATGGTTATGAATCGGGCTGCTACCCTCAGGATCAGCATTTTGAAACTACCAGCTGTTCTGTGGGAGAAAGATGAGGCTTTCTGCTCCCGTAAAGATTTACAGCCTCGGAAACCCTATACAGGGTCGCTATGAGTCGGAACCGACTCCACGGCATACCACCAACAGCACCACCAACTCAAATGCCTAGAGATGGGGACAGGAGAACAGAGGAAGAGTGGATAGTAGATGCCCTTTCTTAAGGTGCTTTCCAGCTCCAGCTAGAAATTACATTACTGAATGCACATCGACTCTTACCTGAATTTCTAATATCCTCTAAATCAAACCTCACCCAGTGCTGTCAGGTTGATTCTGATTCATAATGGGCCTGAAGGACAGAGGAGAACTGCTACTATGGGTTCCTGAGACTGCATCTTTATGGGAGCAGATAGCCTCATCTTTCTCCAGTGGAATATCTGCTGGGTTTGAACTGCCAATGTTGTAGTTAACAGCCTAACACTTAACTCACTATGCCACCAGGTTCCTAACTTCCCAAGAAGTTGGAAATAAGGATTTTAATGCAAGTGTAGTGGTTACGAATTGGGCTGCAAATCGCAAGATCAGCAGTTCGAAACTACCAGCTGCTCCGCTGTAGAAAGATGAGGCTCTCTGCTCCCGTAAAGATTTACAGCCTCTGAAACCCTGTACCAGGTTCGCTATGACTTGGAACGACTCCACAGCACATAACTACCACCACTAAGTATTTTAAACAGTTAAGAATCCTATGTGGGCCAAATATTCTGTGAGTGATACCAGTGTTAATGAAAAGTTGGGGGTTTAAGTCTGCATGGTAATAAACTTCTGAAATGTCAGCCACCGAAAACCCTGTGGTGTGGCCATGAGTTGGAATCGACTCTGTGGCAAGTGGTTTTGACAGGCTAGACAAAATACATTTAAGGATTTTATTCAGTGATCCATGAGGGGTCACTTCCAATCTCCAGCATAAATATTTGTTGAATGGATGTGTGCATTCTAAAAGCAATCTGTTGCCATATTTCCCTTTGGGTGTCTGAGTTCAATCAATGTGGCTTTCATAGTGAAAAGATTTAGGACCATTGGTTTTGAAAAATTTACAACTAAAACCCCCATATGTAGTGATTTTGAAGCTGGAGTTATTTAAGGAACGAATTAATCATGTTACTACCATCCAGCAAAATGACTTATATTGAGTTGTTGTTGTTGTTAGGTGCCATCGAGTCGGTACCAACTCATAGAGACCTTACGTACAGCAGAACAAAACACTGTCCGATCCTGGGCCAGCCTCACTACTGTTGCCATGCTTGAGTCCATCGATGCTGCCACTTGACATTCCATCTCGTTGGGGATCTTCCTCTTTTTCCATGACCCTCCACCTTACCAAACATGATATCTTCTCCAGCAACTGGCCCCCCTGACAATATGTCCGAAATATGAGAGATGAAGTTTGGCCATCTTGGCCTCCAAGGAGCACTCTGGCTGCACTCCCAAAACGGATCTGTTGGTTCTTTTGGCAGCCCATGGCAATTTCAGTATTCTCCAACACCATAACTCATACAGAGTAGGTTCTGGAAAATTCTGGTCACTCTTGAATTCAAAAGATAGAAGCTGTTTACTTTGCTTCTGAGTTCTACATTTGAAGTGGAGAGTTATTT